ACATGTACAGTGTGGCCCCTACGTGTTCCTCCAGGGCCACTCTGAAAATTTTCTTCCTTAGTAGGGAGTACACAATGGTCATATTTATCTTCGATTCTCTTGGCCACATCAGGGGTGGAATTCTTCCCTACTTACCAGAAATTGCTGCTGGCTTGGGTTATTCCACACCACTGAGGTTTTCATTCATATCCCTTTTTCTCTCTCCACCGCTGCACCTAGCTGAGTACATATTTTTAAATATCACTTTTCATTCATTTCCTACCTACTATGATAGGAAAATTTTTTTCTATCATAGCCGCAAGCTGTGCAGCTACCATCCCTGTGGCCATTTTTCTAAGGAGACTGGAGACAAAAACTGATCATGTACAGCGAGCTGGGAATACTCAGTTCCAACAGTAACTTGCTTTGTGCGACTTTCCTGGGAGCCACTGTTTGTGGAAGTACCATTCCACATCCTCGGAATGGTACTTACTCTGTCACATTACTTCCATCATCAATGAAGGAAACACCTATCCAATTCCCAGGAGGGTACTGAAATCCCTGGAACTTGTACTTTGCATAAATAGCCGATGCTACATTAAAATAGTGAACCACTCCATGACCTAAACTAGAGAAACACATACACGAAAAAGGAAGCAGATTAAATGTGTAAGTGCTATGATGTGAAGGTGAAACAATATAAAATCCTGATGACACAACTAGTAATACAGAATCACTGGCATCAGATGAGGAAGTTCCCTCATATGTGTGTGTGTCAGAGATATTTCTAAAAAATGAAGCATAAGTCACATTTTGGAAACAACATAAACATGATATGTAAGGAATATGGAATACAGCATATGTTGTCTATGAATTTAATTTCAATATATTTGCTTCTCTTTCATAATATCAATATACTCCCAAACCTAAATTTTTATTCTTTGAAATTTAAAAATTTTCCTATCATAGTAGGTAGGAAATGAATGAAAAGTGGTATTTAAAAATATGTACTCAGCTAGGTGCAGCAGTGGAGAGAGAAAAAGGGATATGTATGAAAATCAAAGTCACAGGTCTCAGATCAAAAATCACCTACTTCATCTATCTTTGGGGAGATTTCAGCTAAGGGAGCAGATTTCAGTTCAAAAGGGGGATATGAGAGGGAGGAACTATTTCATATTGGAGTCCTTAAATAGGGAGCCTACAAGCTTGTGAAATTTTCATGACATATTTATAAGAGAAACTATCTTGTGCAAAAAACACTTAAATTTTATGTTTCTATCTAAACTCAAGTACCCAATATTTTAACAATATCAAAACAAATCAAATGACTATTTAAAACTAATTCATATAGGAGTCTAACTATATGATGACACTGGTTAAAAAAGGTGCTCCACTACATATATATATGGTTTTTTTGTTTGTTTGTTTTTGTTTTTGAGACAGAGTCTTGCTATGTAGTTCACATCAGCCTTGAACTCATGGAGATCCTCTTGGGTGACGGCATTCCAGGTGTGTGCCACCACACTTGCCCTCCACTACATTTTAATCAGATATATCTACAGAAGAAATAATATAGAAGGTATAGTAAATACATTTCAACATAATAGCTAAATGGCAGTTGGATGGGGGGAGCATAAAACAGAATTACACACAGTATAACAACAAATGTGCCAGGAAATGACATCTAAGCCCGGGAGCTTCAAACAGAGAATGACAGGGTAAGACTAGGCTTAGGCTGGAGAGAGCGCACAGGAGGCTCAGAAGGAGCTGCGCTAGAAGGCAAGCGCTGGCAGGGCAACATGGGGATGTGGGGTGCCCCTCTGACACTCATGACCCTCCGAAAGGACTCCATCAGGTGCACCTGTTGTCCTGGAAGAATGCCAAGTATGATGTCTTCATACCGCTCTTCATTTCTAGCTCTTCAAAAGCAAGCAAAATTGCCTGGCATTAATCAAAAGGTTGCAAATACAAATCCTGCATGAGGTATTTTTGTTGCACTACTGGAAAAAACAATCTATTGTGGAGGAGTTACAGTATTATTTTTAAAAAGTGAAATTATACAAGAGTTACATTCCCAGGGATCCGTTTATTAGAAATAGAACTAAATTGGTCTAATATAGGTCTAAATATGTCTAAACAGGTTTAAAGTCTAAAATAGAGAGGAAACACAATCGCTATTACAAAAACAGTATTTGGCACTTCACACAGTGGAAAAGACCAATATATTTAAAAACAACATAGACAACATTGTACCATAAGTTGAATAAAGATCTCTTTGAACTTCACAATACTCCAATCCTGGTACTATATCAAAAATGCTGAAGAGCTGCTCCTCAGTGAAAGGAACTCTTGACAAAACAAATAGGCATTTGGAGGTAGCTTCCTGGCCCTGGCCGCTGTGCTCTGCCTAAGCAGATGCCTTAGTGTGCTGAGTTATCTGGTCAGCCACTAAATTCTTTTTTTTTTTTTTTTTTTAATCCTGGGGACTAAACCCAGGACTTTTTTTTTTTTTCTTCTTTGTACGAGGGATTGAACTCAGGACCTTGCACTTAGCCAGGCAGGTGCTTTTGCTGCTGAGCTAAATTCCCAGCCGTGGATGAAGAGTTCTTACTGAGGAGTCTAAGGAGGAGCTTCAGAAGGAGGCCAGGTTCTATGCACTCTTGGAAACTTTAAAAGCACACATATATTTGCACATGGGTATATTTCAAGGATCCATTGCTTTTATAATATTATACTCTGGCTTCAAACAGGATGAAACCAGCCAGTTCAAATTCCTTCCATGGCCCCTGCCAGCCTCCTAGCTGCAGAGGTAAGTTCCTGTACTGAAGATGGCATAAGAATAAATCACCTTCCAATGATTGAGAACATTTATACTGGTGGGCGCCAGCCCAAGCTGGTGGCTTTGGGTTGAGCTGATGGAACTTGTCCACTGATTTCCCGAAAACCTCTTTCTCTCAATTCATGAACTAGCAGGATGCGGGTGCTGCACTTTCAGAACGCTTTCTCATAGCTGCGTACAAAAGCCAAGCAGAAAAAAAAAAAAAAAAAAGCCAAGCAGAGAATGTGGTTCAGCTCATCAATGAGGGTGCCAAGGTAGCAGTTACCAAACATGGCCACACTCCTCAGCACCTTGCTGCCAATAAGGGCCATCTTTCTGTGGGACAGATCTTGCTGAAGGCTGGCTGTGACCTGGATATCCAGGATGATGGGGACCAGACTGCCTTGCACTGGGCCACAGTGGTGGGCAACACTGTGATCAACAGAGATCATTGCTGCACTCATTCAGGAGGGATGTGCCCTGGACCGACAAGATGAGGATGGGAACACCGCCCTGTGTGAAGCCTCTTGGCATGGTTTCAGCCAGTCGGCCAAGTTGCTTGTTAAAGCAGGGGACAATGTGCTCGCCAGAAACAAGGCAGGAAACACAGCTCACACCTGGCCTGCCGGAACAACCATTAAGTCTAAAAAACCAAACCAAAACAAATTCCCTCCATGGAAATTTATCCACTATGGTGATGACATCAACTGTTCTTTTATTTATTTTTGAAGGAGTACTGGGAATCAAACTCAGGACCTTGCACTTGCCAGGCAAGCACTGTGCCCCTGATGTATATCCCCAGAACATCAACTGTTCTTTAGTTGTTATTTCATTGTTATATGCAGCAGTGGGGACTGAACTTAGGGCCTTTGCACTAAGCAATATCTCTACCTTTGGGACTAGATCTTACTAAATTGCTAAATTGCCTAAATTAAGCTGGATTCAAACTTGTAGCCCTCCTGCCCTAGCCTCCTGGAGTGCAAGGATTACAGGAATGTGCCACCACATCCAGCTAAGCTTTACTATTTTTAAACAAATTACAAGAGAAACCTAATGTGGGCTAAGTTGGAACTCTGCATAAACACCCAGTGTGGCTACAATGTACTTAGGTGACCCTCTCTTGATTGCTCAGCAGGAGTTCTGTGCTTCTGCAAGGGTCTCCCTGACAGGAAGAGCAAGACAAGTTCACTCCTGGCTCTGCCCCTGCTCACCTGACCACTCTCACCTCCTCCCTATGTACTGCACACCAGACCAAGTCCCCGCTCTTCGGAATGCGTTCCCAGCTCACTCTGCACCTGCTGCTCAGGCCTGATCTGCTCTCCCGCGCTCCTCAATCCTTCTTGCACTGAGCAAATACTGAGTCTACTCTAAATACTGAGTTACTGTGGTGGAGATCTCAAGAAATCTTTACTGAGGTCTGTCAGTATACATCTTTGGGGTGATTGCGAGACAAATAGATATTATCTCCTGGGGGGAGCATAAAACAGAATTACACACACAGTAACTACTTCTGAACAACAGGTGAAGGGTACAATTTAATCAACTGCCATATTCCTATTAAAATACATACAACATTTTACCTATTTGGTCTTTCTGCCCAATAGAAATAAAATCCTTAAGTGCAAGGACTGATATGTACCTCCTTTGTGTTCCTCTATTTAGCACGTTAATGAGTGTACCACAGGTACTCAAGAAAGGGTGGCTGAGTGGGAAATTTAGAAGGAGGTAAGACAAAAATTTTGGTGTGGATCTTCTGGATAACTAAGAATTCTATTAACAATTGTTTCATATAAGTAAAAATTTCCATAATATAAAAGCCAAGTAATTTATTCCATATCTTATTTTTAAAAGTCAATGCACTGTAAGCATGATGAAAAATAATATTTTGGGGGAGGCTAGATACGGTGGCAGAGGCAGGAGGATCACCACTAGTTCAAGGCCAGCCTGAACTACATAATGAACTCAAGGCTAGACTGAACTACACAGACTCTGTCTCAAAATAAATAAATAAATAAACCTTACAAAAATAAAATGCTTAGTCTTTACTATATATACTAGCAAGGACAGAGGATTCAATTATTCTTAGCATGAAATCAACTCTGGGATTAAGTTTAGGTGGTCATAATTTCATTTTCTAATATTAATTTTTAGGAAAAGATATCAAAACCACATTCTGATTCATCTAAGTGACTATCCAATATGATTCCATATGTGAATGGGTAAAGGAACAGGATGGTTTTCCTAATATTAGCAATTTAGTTTTATTGAAACATTGTCATTCTATGGTACTCTGAATTTAATTTGCTTTGTAGTACTTTTTTTCTTTTTTGGTACCAAGGATTTAATTTTAAAATTTGTCTCAGTTTTAAACTACTCCAGAGGAATGTTACAATCTGTGACCAAGACTGTGAACTTGTTTGGTCAGATGTAAGCATAGTAAGTTTAATGGCTAGGTTTTTTGCTTGAATATTACATAATTAAATCGCTATACACACAAGGACCTTGGAAGTTTTGTGTGCATAAATGCATGTTTCCTTCAAGGGGTGGCACTGCCTTAATCAAATATGTTAAATCTTTTTTTTTTTTTTTTTTTGGTGGAACCGGGGATTGAACTCAGGCCCTTGCGCTTGTCAGGGAAGCGCTTATTCTACTAAGCCATTTCCCCAGCACCAAATATGTTAAATCTTAGGACTGTGGAATTCCAGAATAAGGACGTCATCAACCCAAAAGGGTACTGGACTTCAAAGAACATGCAGAATTTCATAAATGCCAAAAAGAAAATATTAAATGGGAAAAGCTCATTATTTTTGCAAGGGAATAACTTGTCATAGAGTTGGAGGCATGTCCTTGGAGAACTAATAGCGACTCTGTGAAAGCTTTCAGTGGTAACAGTCAGCTGTGGCATGTGTGCCATAGGTTCAGCACCACTGCCTTAAGAGTTTGCTTCGTGAGTCCTTCAATAACTGTACTCTACGCCAAGCACTGCTGGAGGTATATTAGTAATAGAGTATTGAGTAACACAGAAATGAATCACTAGAAAGCTTGTCTTCTAGACAAAGTGGCATAATGAATGATCAATAGGGAAATGTAAAAACTGGAAGCTCTAAGAATATGTACAGACACTAGGAAGGAAAAACAGGCATTCTACTGTGATGAGACTAGAGTTGCTGTCAGACCACCACTGCTTAAACCTTAGAGGACCGAAATGAAAAACTCTCCAATAAAGCACAGAATCTATGTAGAATACAAGAATAACTTCCATATGGGAGATTTTCCTCACATGCTTTTATCTTCCTAGACAACAAACACTCACAGACATTCTTAGACAAGAACCCATTCTTGATAAAGATAGAACTAAGACTTCCCTTCTATTTACCACTTTCCTCCAAGTCACAGAGATCATTAAAGAGTAACTTTTAATTGAACAATCTTCTGGCTGTAGGCTGGTGCTACAATATTTTTGTCTTGGGATTCATTGAACTTTGCAAAAAAAAAAAAAAAAAGTACATGAAAAAACTGAGGCTAAATTAATTTCAATGGAAGTACTAAAAAAAGAACAGCTACTACGTTCCAATGGAGGACAGCCCAAGATGATGAACCTAGAATGGCCAGCTAGAAACTATACTGAAAAAAATTTCTGGCTGTAACACAGTAGGAAAAAAAGGGGATGGTGGGGGAGAGGATTATGAAATACAATTCTTTTTGGAAGAAATACTTCTAATTTCTCTATGGCTAATGGGGACATGTTTTTGTTGGGACTTTAAGTTCTCTTGTAGAAGTTTATCATGGAAAGGGGCCTCAAATTTGGGGTATTTTTTGGTTGCAAATGTGGACTCTGAAGTCCTGTTACACTCAAAAAGTATGAAAACCCATTCCATTAAAGTCATAACTAGAAAGAAATGAAAATTTTCAGTGCAGTGCAGGGGTCAGCAAACTACAGCTCTCTTGTTTTGGTGTAACATAGAAAAATTAGTTTACATTTCTAAAGGGTTGTTGAAAATAATCCGACAAGGCTATGACAGAGACTGGCCCCAAAGGTGTAAAATATTTATTATGTGATCCTTCATTAAAAAAGTCTATCTACTTCTGATTTAGGCTTTCAGTCCTAGAATTCTGTCGATGCCCTGTTCTGAGCTACTTCAGAGGGTTACAGAGTTGACTGTAGATTTGTTCTTCTCTTAGCTCTATCAATAATAGTTCACATATTTTGGAGCGCTGCTATTGCCTGCATCCACAGAAGATTACCATGTATGTTTGTTACTGTACTAGGCTGGAGGTTCAGGCAAGACCTTCAGAGAGTCCTTCATTTGCAAGTCCTTACTTATTCTCTTCTCAATTCAGTAAATGGTGGAGGGGAAGAACTAAAGGTAAAGAAAAAAATTTCTACAGAAAGCTCCAACAGAATTACACACACAGTAACTACTTCTGAACAACAGGTGAAGGGTACAATTTAATCAACTGCCATATTCTCAGGATTAACTTCTGATCTGAAGGAACAGTAAGTAAAGAGTGACATCTTGGCTACTATATACCGGTAATAAACCTAAATTACAGTCTGACCTTGTGCCAGGCATTGTGCTAAACGGACAGATGAGATGAAATAAACCCTGAATAGGACCATTCCGGCCACGTGTCCTTAACATGACTAAACACAGAAATGTCATACAAATACCACTAGAATGAATCACAACTATGCAAAGCAGCATTTCATAAGGATACACAATTCACACCGTCATCACAATGACTTGGTGCCTCTTGGGGCTTTTATTTTGGTTGGCTTTCAAAGAAAAGCATCAGTAACAGAGGACCGATGACCAAATATATGGTATTCATCTTTACACACAGGGCTTACATAATGTAATTCTAAAAATCGCAACAGTGGGATGCATATGTGACAGCCGCCTCAGTCACCTGCCCTTTACATTACCTGCGTGCATATTTTCCTCTGGTCCCGGGGAAGGGCCGACATCAGAGGACCAGAGTTGAATGTGAGCACTTGGGTCAGACTGTGGAGGTCTACACCTACCCAAGGGAAAGCAGCTATTTTTATCATCATCATCATCATCATCATCATCATCATCATCATCATCATCATCATCATCTGTGGTAAACAGAAGCATCTAAGGGAGAAGGACTGGGTGAAGAGACTGAGGCCCCGCGCCCCGCGCCCCGCGTCTGCACCTTGATGGGCTTGGTGTTGTTGGGCTCCAGGCACTGTCCGTGCATCTCCTCCATCGCCCTGCAGGCCTGCGAGCTGCGCGCGAACTTGATGAAGGCGATGCCCTTGGACTCCTTGGTGCGCTTGTCCCGCACCACCCAGATGTCCTGGATCTCGCCGAAGCGGGAGAAGCGCTCCCGCAGCACCGCCTCGGGCGTGTACTTGCTGATGACCAGGAAGATGCGGCTGTTGGGCGGCTCGTCCAGGCTGTCCACGCCGGGCGGCGATCGTCCCAGCTTCTGCCTAGGTTTCCAGCTACTCCCCGCGGGTTCGCCTCTCCGCCTCCGGAAGGCAGAAGAGTCTGGCGTCAGGTGCTGTCCCACCTTAGGGCTGTTGGCTTCCGGGAGCAGCCTGCGGCGCCCTCTGGCGTCTTGGGAGACGGGAACCAGGTCCAGGCCTCCCAGGTGAAGTCAGGTTCACGTTATCAGTGCAATCCTTGTTTTCTGCTCCTGTATCCTCTGGCCTGAAACAACACCCCCAGCGCTGGCTTTGCCTCCAGGATTGTCTCAAGCCCAAGAATTCTTCCCCCAAACTTTCCACTATGAATGAGGAAATTATTCCTGACATTTGTGAAGGAGGGCCAACTTTATTCAAGTTGTTTTTGGGCGTGGTAACATGTCACACCATGGTGACAGTTATAGGAACTACTGCAATAGGGTCTTGAAACGAGGACTATTCTGAGAGATTAGACTCAATTCTGACTTTGGAAAGACAAGGGAAATTTATAATCAGGATTATGTTGACAATGGATGGACAACTACCCAACATCAGGACTAGATTCTTGCTGGATTTGCTTAACAGAATTCTTGCTGAAGGCAGTGCAGAATGGTAAAACGCTGGTGGGGGTCAGACACCAAGAGTGAGGACTGTCACTAACCTGATATACCAGGACTCTTGCTCAACCTCGATTCTAGCTCAAACTGGATTCCCTAAGAATAGAGTCCAAGCTTGGCCATAGTCAAACTGTGTACTATGCACTGGATGTTATGCTAATTCTAAGGGAGAAAGTATTAAACAATCCAGTCATTCTCTTTCTGCCATAGAGCTAATAGTTTAGTCTTGGATAATTAGGATCATATGGCGCTAACAATTTAGGGACCAAATGAAACCGTGTGCTCAGTGGCACAAAAGAAGTTGGTTTACTTACTTTTCTTGAATATCCCACACTCCCTTGATATTTTATAATTGCTTGATGGTAATAGATACTCAAGAATGCTGGATTATTAGCCTGGATTTAGCAAATAAAAAAAAGATTGTTATCATTTCTCCATGGTGGCCTCTGTGAAGGTGCTGTTTACCCCAGAGCTTTGCACTAGAAAGTGTTGTTTTTTAAAAAAACTTTCTATTTCTCTTATCTTTCCCAGACTAGTCAAAATGAATGAAAAGAATATAACACTGAAATAATTTATTGATTTGAGTTAGGGCAGAGTCTAAGAATACTATTTGCACACCAGTGCCATCTAGTGGAAACTTTATGCTTTTCTTACATTGCTCTTACAGGACAATCTGTTCCTTGTAAAATAAGACTACTGATGTGTGTCCTGATGTGTTCGATATTTTGAGAGCAGTTACTTTTCTCTCAAAATAATTGGGGAATTCTAGGGAAGAAAA